CAACCGGGCCTCTGTTACACGTTACATCATGGAAATAGTTGGTACCATACACACAGCTACAGTACATACAGAAAAACTAAAGGGGGGGCAGCATCGTCATCGTCGCCGTAGAACCTACCCCTCGTCAAACACCCATTGGGCCGGCCACCACCTGCATACGAGGCGGTAACCGTAGACACACATCACATACGAATGCGTGTCCTGTGGGGTCGATGTGTGGGCATTCGTCGTCTTCGTCGCCGTCCCCACATCCCACAAAGAGGGGGGGCCAGCGTCGTCGTCGTTGCGCCCACATCTGGCATGTATCATCCTCGTCACCATCCAGCTGTGCCCACATCCCTCAAAGAGGGGAGGGGCATTCGTCATCTTCGTCGCCGTCCCCACATCCCTCAAAGAGGGGGAGGGGCCAGCGTCGTCGTCGTTGTTGCAGCCACATCCGGCATGGATCGTCCTCGTCGCCGTCCAGCCGTTTCGTCGTCTTCGTCGCCGTCCCTACATCCCTCACAGCAACGTTGTCGCCGTCGTCAGCAAACACCGTCGCCGTCGTCAGCAAACACCGTCGCCGTCGTCAGCAACATTGTCGCCGTCGTCAGCAACGTTGTCGCCGTCGTCGGCAAACACCGTCACCGTCATCAGCAATGTTGTCGTCGCCGTCGCCACGAACGTTGTCACCACATCCACGTTGTTGTTGGCAAGACATTGGGGGAGGCGGAGTGGCGGGCAGAAGATGTTGAGAGGGGAAGCCGTGGTTGTCGTCCTTTCATTCGCGTGGTGCTGATAGGAATGGGAAACCGTGGTCGTCGTCCTCATTCGCGTGGTGCTGATGTGACAGATATCCCCCACACTCGAGAACCCCCGAAGAACACCCATTGGGCCGGCCACCACCTGCATACGAGGCGGCAACCGTAGACACGCATCGCATACGGATGCATGTCTTGTGGGGTCAACGTTGGGGGAGGTGGTGTGGGGGAAAGAATGATGGTTGAACGTGGAAGAAAGAAACACGAATCAAAATATCAACACGTATTTGCTTGTTTGGCTAACCTTTGTTTATCCAAACAGAGTCAATAAACAAAGATTTGTTTCGTGAATACTTAATACTATTGCCTCGCAATAACAACAGTGCGAATTGTTAAACCAATTCTAACTGATAGATAACATATTATAGACTACTCAACAAAAAAAACTAACTGAAACGACTTCAGGAACATATCTTAATAAGTCTGTCAACATGAGTGAACAGCGAAAAAAAGAATTGGTTAACCAAAATAACCTAACTCTACCAGCCCTTATATAGGAAAGTCTCCAAATGTAGGTGATCATTTCATTATAACTTGTTGAATGATTTGCTTATTTACCACTTCAGGACCTTGCATTTTTGGGAGAATTACAACATGGTGTCTATGACGATGAATGTGAGGGTCTTACAGAGGAAGAGATCAATGCATTTTACGGCTTTGCGGAGGATGGAGAATCACTAGATCTTGATGGAACATCTGATCAGGGATCGGAGGACTCGGAGGACTCAGAGGACTCGTATGAGTATGACAATGAGGAGCACAATGAACCAGGATCTGTGGACAATGTAATTAATCTGAATTTTATGACTTATTGACGTAAACTGACTGTTCATTAGATGCACAATGAACAAGGGTCTGAAGATGACATGGATTTGGATTCGGACCATGACTCCGACACAAAGGTTTCCGATCATGACTTCGACACAAAGGTGTGCTTTTCATGAAATTATAGACATGATCCATGATCTGACTTAGCATTGCAGGGAATTGATGCTAATATCCGACATGAGGCCATTCCAGTTCCCTTGGGATCTTGTCCATTCGATCAAGAAGGGCTGGACTTGTTTGAAAGCGGATTGAATTTATTAAAAGAGAGTGGTGAGCTTCCTGCCGGCTATGGAGTGACTCTAGATGAATTAGACGGAAATGAATTTGATGAAGAGGAGACAATTCAAGTCGGTATTAACAAAAATGGCCATCTCATGGCACTTCCACACCAAATTTGGAAACCTCGAACAGAATTATGGGTGCAAGGACTGTTTGTCATGACTAGTATTTTATCAGTGTCGAATTAATTTTTTATTTATCATGGTATTTAGTATATACATGTGGAACTTCATCGAGTATCAGAATCATCCCCTACCGTTTCCTTCGCCATGGCTCGCCGTTCATCGGGGAAGAGAAAGGCTAGCACACCTCCTTCAGCACGTTCCGCATCCCTTTCTGCTGATGAGAGCGACACTGTCTCCGATAACACCAAACCGGTGGCCAAAAGGCTTCGACTGACCTCTCCGGCACGTGTGAAGCAGGCAGCTTTGGCCAAGGTGGCAAGTTCCTCCAAGTCTGGTTCCTCGTCAAAGGGATTGGCTGGGTTTGCTGCCTTGATCAACAGTTCAAGCCTCTCTGCTGCCCGCAAGGAGACGAATCAGGGTCTTCGGTCAGGCTCCTCGAAATCGTCTCGTGGTCCATCGAAAGCTGCAGCAGGCAAAGTGGTATAATTTGTCTGTTCATGTAATGCTAAACACTGATCTTACCCATTATTTAGGATGATACGATCTTTTCTGTAGGAACGATTGTTTTCCTTATTGTTGGTGTTATGGCGGTATGTGTTTTGTTTTTTATCACTCATATTTTTATTCTGATATATTCCGATTATGTAGAATAAGGCAGCAAAACTTGACGATGCCACATCTTTTCTTCCAGCCTATGCTCTGCAATCTGATGTCGACATCTCTTCAGTCGCTCTGACTGGAATGAAGCAATCGGGCCTGTGTGTAACGAAGAGTTCTGGCTTCGATTTTCACCCAGATGACTCCTATCCAATTCTCGACACCAAGCTTCAGGCCCTTTTCCCTAAGCTATTCACATGGCTCTGGAAAGCGGAACCTGATGACGCTACTACTTCTTCCTGGCTAATCTGCATGAAACCTCCTCGTAGGAACCTCGCTGTATATTCTGATGACCGATTGCCCACTGGTATGGACATTATTGACGCTTGTAAGCTTGCAAATACCAAGGTTGGTGTCTCCCACCGGACACTCTTTCTGGGTGAGCTTCATTTCATCATATTTTTTGAGTAGCATGGATGCTAATTTTCTACCTATGCTAGTAACTCGTTATCCTGTTCCTGCAGCAACACTCCTTGAGTGGAAACCACGAATTTCATTGGCCCAGGACCCTGTCGTTAACAAAGACTCAGATGTCGATGACACTGATAATGACACCCCCAGCCCTACACTCAGCGCCATCCCCTTACCCTGCACCCAACGATCTTTGCGACCTCGCCATGTCAGGAGTGAAGATGAGGTAGAACAGGATATAATCAGCATCTCAAGCATGTCCGGTACGAAATTCAATTTCAGTGTTTAAATTCACAATTTAACTGTACATTTGTTGTTATAGATGGTGAATCGTCAGCCCCAGCACCTAAGATCCCTATTCCTGTCACCAAGGCCCCCACCATTTCATCCATCGAGGTGATGCAGGATTTCTTTCACTCGTCCTTCAATTTTGACAATGAGGAGAATCCTTGGGTCCCTAGAGCGTAGATACCACACCATAGTCACCATTTCCATTGAGGCGAGCATGACCTACATTCATTTTTAATCACATCGTAATTCCAACTATGCTACATTCTTTTTCCACCCAATATAATGTTCATCCAATATCGTGGTGGCCCCAATAAATTGAGACAATAATATATTGTTACATTTTAAACTCCGCCTACAGTGCCGAGGCTGCCAACAATACATCAATTACCTAATCACGGCACCACGGCATACTTAAAAAGGTAGGAAGCCAAAAAATCCGCACAAGGGTCTCAGTAATTTCCGCGCACGAATAATATTTTTTGCGGCACTTGATAATATTTCTGGGCACCTCATAAATCCGTCAATAAGTTTCCGTGCATGTAGTAAAAGTTTATGCGCAATCAAATGTATTTTTGCGCACACATGTCAACTTTTCTGTGCACAACTAACATTTCTGCGCACTGAATTTATTTCTGCGCAAGTACATAAATATTTTCGCAACACTACAAATGGTGACTTGAATTCTGCGCAACATTACAAAAAAAATTGCGCACAACATAGACTTTTGCGCGCCAACATGTACATTAAGGGAATACTTACCCAAACGGACCGCCATACGTGTTACCGAGTCGCGCAAGAAGAAGGAATTAACGTACACTAGGAATCACAGCAATGGGGGTGCAGTCTGGAGTTTTGGTCATGAGAGATGCTGAAGCGCTGAATGTTGATGGCCTCACACCTTTATACACCTCCCTGCAAACTCTTCGGAATTTCGTCGCCGCAACATCCAAAAACAGAAGTTTGTTTATCAAACCTGTACTGAACTCTAGTCTCTCCCCCATCTACACAGACTGCCGGCACCTACCCGCATTCCGGTTAAAGTCCAGGTAAATTCCGGGTGGGAACTTGCTGTATTTGATCTGTAATTATCAGCCAAATTGGATCTTGAGCTGATCACTTGACCCGTTTATCGTACGCGTCGCGTGAACATGAAATGTAACGAGGTGTCTCCTCCGACAGTCATCGACTCAGTAACCAAAATATTATGGAATTGGAGATGTGGGTGTTGTGTGGGTGTTGGTGTTAGGCGCCGGCCGCCTTGACGTCGGTGTAAACAGTAAATTGGTCACCGAAAAATCCGGAATCCTAGTGGGAATGTATCGTTCTGGGCAAAGCGAGCGGCGAGGGGGGCGAGAGAGGCACTCATACATCGGCTCAAGAGTCGTAAATGTCTCATGGGGAGAATACGAATCAATAGTATAGATAAGCGGTCTGCGATCATCGACAGATGGTATGGAAGAAAGAAGTTGATGACGGAGTCGAAGGAGAAAGGGCTCGACATCTCCATCCTTTGCGAAAGTGGTGAAGCTTGAGTTGCTTGTTTCTTCGAGTTGTTGTTGTTGATTGGTGACAAACAATACGCGCAAATTTGCTCTCCTGACTACATACGATGCCTCCGAAATGGAGTCCCCAATCCTTCCTCGACAGCATTCAACCCCCACCGTTCACTGTTCCACCTGACAGCGGCCTCGTCGTAACTGATGAAATGAAGAACCTCCTTGCGCGGCCTGGATTCATAAGTCTCAAAACAGGCGGACAAAGGTTACGACAGCTATACGTGGATCGTTGAGTTGCATCTGTCCCTTTGCAACTTTCCGAGTTTCTGACTTCTCCATCATAGATAGTCTCGGATTCAACATCTATGAGCTTACAGCTTTCGGCAAGGCATGTTACCTAGGTAGCTTTGACACCGCCAGAAAGGTGCGTCTTCAACGTCATCACTTGCAAGCTGACTTACTAAAACTACAGGCAGTAGAAAGCGGTACAGCTCCAGACCTCGAAGGGACGGAAACGGCTTTCAAGTTTGGATATGCGACCCTCATCATTGCAGGATCACAGCGTGTAGAGCCGATCAACGGCGGACCCACTCAACACGATGAAGTCCTCAAGTATCTTCTGTCCTGCGGCCTACCACCCAACGTCCCAGATATCTGTGGTTTCACTGCCCTGCACCACAGCGTCATCGGTGAATCGATACATCGCAAGGAAGATCTCATCAGGCTTCTTATCCAGTCTGAGGCCAATGTCAATTATCAAAATCGGTATGGCGAAGTGCCGTTATTTGGGGCTATGCAGAGGAACGATGTCCTCGGGATCGACCTTCTCATGGAGTATGGGGCAGATGTTCATATCGCAGAGGCGGATGGGAACACGCCGGAAGGGTTTTATTTGGTGTGTGGTCCGCAGGTGACGGCTGTTTTTAGGAAGTGGATGGGAAAACGAAAGGGGGAGGAGGCGCCGAGGGTAGAGAAGCGGTGCGATACTTGTGGGGATCCGAATAAACCGTTGAAAAATTGCTCAAAGTGCCATGTCGCGAGGTATTGTTCAACGGAATGCCAAAGTACGTGGATTCTTTTTTTCTTTCTTTCCTTCCTTTTTCACTCCGATTTCAGAAAAGGCCTGGCGAACACACAAGACAACCTGCATCCCATTCTCCGCATCTAACACAGTCACCCTCATCCCATTCTACGATTCTGCGAATCTCAACCTCATGCCCCTCCAACATATCGCCCGCAAAAGCTTTGGCATTCCCACCCCTGTGATCCCCGACACGCACGCCCGCGCTGCCCACATTCCCAAGGGTATTGCCGACGAATCAAAAAACATCATCATCAAGATCCAGGTGCCCATGACCCAACATACCGGCAATCTGCTTATATATACCAAGAAACGCGACTTCGTGTGCTATGTGCGGAGAGGGGACTGTCCGCAGGCGTATGATAAGGTTATGGAGGTTGTCAAAGCCAAGGGGGCTGGTGGCGCGAAGGCGTATTTTGCGGCTGAGCTGAGGAGCAAGGATGAGCTGGTAGTGAAGATCTCGCAGGTGTTGGCAGAGCAGCCGTTCTGAGGTGGTGATGGTCCTGCGGGGTCTCAAATGAGGGGCACAGGAAAATCTGCGTGCCATCTGCGGACACAGGTTGCGTGCCAGTTGCGAACCGAAAAGAAGTATCTGCGGTCACTTGCGTGCAGACCAATCCAGTTGCGTGCAAATTAGACCTAGCGAGCCGAGTATCTGCGGGCATCTGCGAGCATCAGCGCACCTTGCTGAGATTTCATATTTCTTGAGATTTCTTCAATGAGCACCATAATTATCCTTCTAGTTTAGTGTATCTGAATCTCTCTGATTCTTTCTGACTTGTTGGTTCGTACCTACTATCAGTGACCAGGAGTTTGAAACGATTTGGCCTTTGGCTGAATTATGCCACAACCGCTACACTCCGGGCCTCCAAATTTTGTGTGGTGGTGAATGTGTATCTCATGAACATGAATATATTTTTAGTTTTTTTATTGAACAGTGGTGGAAGCTGACGGAGGCTTACCGGTCATCGAAGTCGATTGTTTCAGGAGATTGAAATGGCTGTCACGTCCAAGTCACATCCAACTGTCAGAATTTTGATAGGTGATGCGACTGTCAGGGTTCAAAACCACGCAGCCCAAAATCACGTCTGTCACGCTCAGCAGACAAAGAATCGAAATTCATTGGATTATAAGCATAGTTCTTCACCTTTCTGCTCAATTTTTTCTATTTGAAGTCGCGTCGTTTACTAGTACATGCTTGTAAATTTTTAGATACCCTAATGCAAAGGATCGGATTAGATCTTGAAAATCATTTGCATACATCACGGTTTTGATGCACCAAAAACCACCTTTTAAAATCTTGAGCTCGTCAGACTCGGTTGTTGCACAAAAAAGGTTGATATTCATATTTGTAAGAGTCATAATTAGTCCAGAAAAAAATACCAGAAAGCCTGTGTCAAAATTAAGAGAGGAAATCAGGGATTTCAAACTCCTGAAGCATATCAAACTCCTGGTCACTGATAGTATAGGTCTGTACTAAGACCATTTTTATGCAGAAATGTACAAGTAATGCAGTGTCTGAGGCTATGACTAGTCAGCCACTGGCTTCTTACCATTATTTTCCTTCTTTATTGGACGTGATTGTGGTCGATTTTTTTCCAGAGACTTCGGGACTCAATAGCCAATGTCTGCCATTGTCGAGTGATGGAGTCTCACCTCTCATTCAGACTCGCTCTCTTCTTCCCATCCCAACTTGATTCCACACCAAATGAGGGACATTAGGGAAAACCAACTTTGGAAATCGATAGTGTTTGAAAGTCCGGTCCGGTCCGGTTATTGAGCCCTCAAGGGCTCTAACCGAGACCGAGACCGGTTACCTTGTGCCACGAAACCCAAAATAACCGAACCGGACTGCTACTAACCGATATAATCGGTTAGTAACGGTTAGCGGTCGGTTACATGACCGGTCCTAACCGGTTATTTCTCTGTACTAACATAATTACAAACCTATATTATATTTCTAATACAAGCATTATGCTGCATGCACCAGCGAGGCGTGTGTAGGTGAAACACCGCCTCGCACGATTTTCATAAACAACCTCGCAGGTCGAGTACACCCGACCTGCGAGCGTTTCTCATGGATCGCCATTGTTGTATCAATGTCACATTATCACACATGTGACGACAGGAAAATAGTCACTTAAATTTCAATTCACCGTAAATATGTCAATTCTCCACTAAAAAATATGATTTTTGGATCGTTAGAAAGCGTTTAAACAGGGGAATATTTGTGTGTAACGTTAGGACACAAAGACCGGTTATAACCGGTCCTAACCGGTTTTTGTTTGGTCTTGAATATTTTGGGATGACACCTAACCACTAGAGGCTGACACTTAGCAGCGGCAGCAGGCACCTTGCTTGCTGACAAATACACTGCTTTGCACCAATGCGAAGCGACTTTTTTTTCATAACGAAGGAAACAGTGTTCAAGAGCTAGTTACATGGAAATACATATTTAAACATTGGAAAGAGGACGACGGTATCATGGTTCTGAGTGTTGAACGTTAAATCGTTCAACGGTTTGAATTGACGAAAGTCAGACCGATCGATGATGTCATATACCCTGGCTTTGCTGTATCTCACCATTATGCCACAATTTTCTCCATATCCGCAATCTGACATGTTAAGGGACTTTGGTATTACTGAAGAACAACCGGTTTTCGATTACAACGTTAGAGAGATAGAAGCATCTCAAGCATCTCATGACCCGGTCGGTTGTTGTTCAGGATTGAAACCCATGACGTTGATATGTTCAACAGCCATTCGTACGCTTTGTCAAGTGTATCTTTTACGGTACAGACTGTACCAAACCGTTCTTGGTCAAGGTGCCATACCATGTTGGGATGCATAACCAGCAAACTGTTTCTTCTCTTGACACAAGCTACTGGTTACCACAAGGCGCCAGCGGTGCGATGGTAGTCTTTACTCCCAAAGTCTACGAGATATGCTCCCCCCCCCAAGAAGATTCTGAAGGAGAGTCCGTGTCTTCTCAGGATGAAGCTAATGTTGAACGTCTTTATTCAATCATTTATTCACCACAAGTTAGTGTCGTTGTCCTTATACTTTGCACTTTCTAAAAGGAAAATAGCCCCGAGAGGGTGTTCCCCATGGATTGAGGGTCAACCAGCTCGTTCACAGTTTCGAGGAGGATTTAGCAGATGATTGTCTGGGTAATATGCTGATCGCGTCGCGTCGATTCAACGATTCTCTTTGGGACACCAGTGAAAACGATATATCCAGAGCCAATGTTGTTCTGATAAGGTTTTTTTTTTTCCCCGGCGAAGCAAATTTTTCTAATGGCTTAACGTATGCTACGATAGTGCTGTGGACAGTGATGAATTTGTCGAACTTGATTGGCAGACAGTACTAGGAGAAGTAGATATATCGTAGAATAATTTTGAGTTAGCTTCGACATCGATGTGTATGCCATCAATATTGGTTAATGATCTTGAATTCCGGTTGTTGGATGTATGGTACCACAGTTAGATCTCCAAACCTGATTCTTAAAGTAAACAATAGCTCACTTTAAATGTAGCTGGCTGGTAAGTATCTTGCGTAAAATTGAGGAGTATTCTGACGATCAATGAACCGTATCGAAAGGGTTGTCGAATCAGTTACCCATGGTAGTTCTGGCAGACTGACTTTACGACCTCCTACTTGGATGATGTTTATCGAACGTAGACGCGGGAAATGTATTTTGTTCAGCATCGGTTGCAAATATTGCCAATCGAGATGTTTGCCATCGTCTGCCTCCATCACGAGGAATAGCTTTTCAAGTCTCCAACCACCAGCTGTTCGCCACCCGTCGAAGCCCTTGCTGACTTCGCTGAAGTCGCCGTGTTGCAGACGAGGACACGCACGCTGGTCACCAACGTGGTCTTGCATATATTTTGCAGTCGGCGCATGGCTGTTAACAATTAATACCGCTGCTGACATAGGACGGAGTGCCATACCAGAGACGGCAAGGATTTCGATGTTTGGTTTCCAATAATGTAGGAAGCCCGGTATCATCATTGCTGAATCATGATCGTGCACTACACGGAGGGCAGAGAAATCCATTATGGGACTTGCGTCGTTCCATTTCGCCTTGAATAGACGAAAAACGTGAACATGTCATTCCGCGCAAGATAGAATATGGTTGGTTTTGGGATGGACCGTCTGACGTCCTCT